TCGTATTCTCTAGATTGAAGTATATAAATGTACAAAAGGCTATAACAAAGAGGATAAAAAACATGTTTATATATATCAACACAAATTAGAGTAGGAAAAAATTAATATAAATTGTGTAACTTTACGTTCAGGAAAACCTGGGTAAATACTGGTTTGGAAATAGGGTTGTTGATTTGTGGAACAGATTACTGGATATCAGTCGTGGGATCGTTGGGTTGTTACAAGCATAGGCTAGACACGCGTATGAATGTGCTTAGGTGGATATAAATAATAGCTGCCTCGTTTGGAGACCAATAGGAGCTGCCTGGTATGGACCAATAGGAGCTGCCTGGTATGGACCAATAGAAGGAGCCTGGCAGCAGCGTGGCCGCCACGGGAGAGAACAAGGGATCACCACGAGGTAGGGGCAAGGAGCGTCACTCCTCACATGGAAGTTCAACATGGCCGCCAACCACTGCATACGACGCGCCTTTGAAACTTCCAACCTCCCTCTCTCTCACCTAATACCTTGCTTTCTTTTTTTCTACGGAGTCGACCAATCCGCTAAAAATGTATTAGTAAAGGATAGAACACCGAAATATGGATGTTTGTTATGTATAAGAAAGGTTTCCGTATTGGTTAGATGCGGTTACCACCATGGGTAGCCTAAGACTCTCCTTGTATACACTGTGGGTGGGGCTGAGGTTCCCGCTCTGTGTACATCGGCAGTTTATAAACCGTTTGTCTTGTGTTTCTCAAACTGGAGGACGGCTTTGTCTTGTGTTTCTCAAACTGGAGGACGGCTTTGTCTTATGTTTCTCAAACTGGAGGGCGGCTTTGTCTTGTGTTTCTCAAACTAAAAAACTGGAGGACGGCTTTGTCTTATGTTTTTCAAACTAAAAAACTGGAGGGCGGCTTTGGCTTATGTTTTTCAAACTGGAGGACGGCTTTGTCTCCAGTTTCTCAAACTGGAGGACGGCTTTGTCTCGTGGTTCTCAAACTGGAGGGCGGCTTTGTCTTGTATTTTTCAAACTAGAGGACGGCTTTGTCTCGTGTTTCTCAAACTGGAGGGCGGCTTTGTCTTGTATTTTTCAAACTAGAGGACGGCTTTGTCTCGTGGTTCTCAAACTGGAGGGCGGCTTTGTCTTGTATTTTTCAAACTAGAGGACGGCTTTGTCTCGTGTTTCTCAAACTGGAGGGCGGCTTTGTCTTGTGTTTCTCAAACTGGAGGGCGGCTTTGTCTTGTGTTTCTCAAACTAAAAAACTGGAGGACGGCTTTGTCTTATGTTTTTCAAACTAAAAAACTGGAGGACGGCTTTGTCTTGTATTTTTCAAACTGGAGGGCGGCTTTGTCTCGTGTGGGAGGCTTTTCCGGTGTTTTTTGAAATTGGCGGGAATGGCGCAGCGGGAGCAGCGTGGCGGGCGCTGTCGGGCAGGGAGAGGGATGGCGGCAAGAGAAAGGCAGCCATGGTGGCCTTGGCGGGCCAGCAGGCGGCCGGGGAGGACAGAGGGGGTGGCCAAATGGTCCTCAGTGTGTGCAAACTTTCTACATAAAAGAGACAAAAAAATAGGAAAAGGGTTGTTGGTCTGGGAGGCCCCTGAGAGGCCCCACCCACGTGTTGACTCAGCCCTCGGGGCTCTGGCTGGATTCAAACCGTCTCCTCATGCATCGTATTTTTGAACGCGTTCGACCCAACCGTTAAAAATGCGACGTATTTGGGCCAAAATAAAGCATCTTTTTTAGCTAGGTAAAATAGTTGCAATTTTTTTTAAGAGTGAACTCTGTTCTTAGCATGATGATTAACACGGCTCTATGTTGGGTATTAATATGCACAGGTAGTTGGCATTTAGTGATTGCCTATTTGCAGAGCTGGACGTGGGGCTCCCGGGCGCTGGCACATCTGTATATTTAGGGGGTTTTGTTCATTTATTATGCGTCCCATACCCACCCTGTGGGCGGCGGTGGGTCCCATACCCACCCTGTGGGCGGCGGTGGGTACCATACCCACCCCGTGGGCGGCGGTGGGTCCCATACCCACCCTGTGGGCGGCGGTGGGTACCATACCCACCCCGTGGGCGGCGGTGGGTCCCATACCCACCCTGTGGGCGGCGGTGGGTCCCATACCCACCCAGTGGGCGGCGGTGGGTCCCATACCCACCCGGTGGGCGGCGGTGGGTCCCATACCCACCCTGTGGGGCGGCGGTGGGTCCCATACCCACCCCGTGGGCGGCGGTGGGTCCCATACCCACCCCGTGGGCGGCGGTGGGTCCCAGACCCACCCTGTGGGCGGCGGTGGGTCCCATACCCACCCTGTGGGCGGCGGTGGGTCCCATACCCACCCTGTGGGCGGCGGTGGGTCCCATACCCACCCCGTGGGCGGCGGTGGGTCCCATACCCACCCCGTGGGCGGCGGTGGGTCCCATACCCACCCCGTGGGCGGCGGTGGGTCCCATACCCACCCTGTGGGCGGCGGTGGGTCCCATACCCACCCTGTGGGCGGCGGTGGGTCCCATACCCACCCCGTGGGCGGCGGTGGAAAAGGTTTCAGAGGCACATAATGGACTCGAGAACTGAACGTCTCAACATTCGTTTAGCTGAGCAACTTAAAGTCGTGATGAGCAAGTTACAGTCTTGATGAGCTAGTTACAGTCTTGATGAGCTAGTTACAGTCTTGATGAGCTAGTTACAGTCTTGATGAGCTAGTTACAGTCTTGATGAGCTAGTTACAGTCTTGATGAGCAAGTTACAGTCTTGATGAGCTAGTTACAGTCTTGATGAGCTAGTTACAGTCTTGATGAGCTAGTTACAGTCTTGATGAGCTAGTTACAGTCTTGATGAGCTAGTTACAGTCTTGATGAGCTAGTTACAGTCATGATGAACAAGTTAGTCATGATGAGTGAGTTACAGTCGTGATGAGCAAGTTACACAGTATTTAACATGCTCTCTAACAGCCCATCCACAGTGTGACAGGGTATTCAATCAGTACCCAAACGTGTTCGTCGTCAGATGCAGCGACTGGATAAGGTCACCATGCAACAGGATTATGGATGATGGAGACAGTTTACATCACAACAAACGGGCAACGTTCCCTTGTAACAACGTAATCACAACAAGAACTGCGTGGTTGGGTTGTTGTGATGAGTGGTCAATATTGGTGATGAGTGGTCAATATTGGTGATGAGTGGTCAATATTGGTGATGAGTGGTCAATATTGGTGATGAGTGGTCAATATTGTGATGAGTGGTCAATATTGTGATGAGTGGTCAATATTGTGATGAGTGGTCAATATTGGTGATAATATTTGAGGTCCCGCTCGGTCCTGGGTTTAGGTCACTCCTGTCAAGTTAGGGATATTATATATATATATATATATAATATATATATATATATATAATATATATATATATATATATATATATATATATATATATATATACACCTCGTGGCTGGAAGGTCCCCCCCCCACCCACCTCGTGGCTGGAAGGTCCCCCACCCACCCACCTCATGGCTAGAAGGTCCCCCACCCACCCACCTCGTGGCTGGAAGGTCCCCCCCCACCCACCTCGTGGCTGGAAGGTCCCCCCCACCCACCCACCTCGTGGCTGGAAGGTCCCCCACCCACCCACCTCGTGGCTGGAAGGTCCCCCACCCACCCACCTCGTGGCTGGAAGGTCCCCCCCCACCCACCTCGTGGCTGGAAGGTCCCCCCCACCCACCCACCTCGTGGCTGGAAGGTCCCCCCCACCCACCTCGTGGCTGGAAGGTCCCCCCCCACCCACCCACCTCATGGCTGGAAGGTCCCCCACCCACCCACCTCGTGGCTGGAAGGTCCCCCCCCACCCACCTCGTGGCTGGACGGTCCCCCCCACCCACCCACCTCGTGGCTGGAAGGTCCCCCCCCACCCACCTCGTGGCTGGAAGGTCCCCCCCACCCACCCACCTCGTGGCTGGAAGGTCCCCCACCCACCCACCTCATGGCTGGAAGGTCCCCCACCCACCCACCTCGTGGCTGGAAGGTCCCCCCCCACCCACCTCGTGGCTGGAAGGTCCCCCCCACCCACCCACCTCGTGGCTGGAAGGTCCCCCCCACCCACCCACCTCGTGGCTGGAAGGTCCCCCCCACCCACCCACCTCGTGGCTGGAAGGTCCCCCCCACCCACCTCGTGGCTGGAAGGTCCCCCCCCCCCCACCCACCTCGTGGCTGGAAGGTCCCCCCCACCCACCTCGTGGCTGGAAGGTCCCCCCCCACCCACCTCGTGGCTGGAAGGTCCCCCCCACCCACCCACCTCGTGGCTGGAAGGTCCCCCCCACCCACCTCGTGGCTGGAAGGTCCCCCCCCACCCACCTCGTGGCTGGAAGGTCCCCCCCCCACCCACCTCGTGGCTGGAAGGTCCCCCCCCACCCACCTCGTGGCTGGAAGGTCCCCCCCACCCACCCACCTCGTGGCTGGAAGGTCCCCCCCACCCACCCACCTCGTGGCTGGAAGGTCCCCCCCCCACCCACCCACCTCGTGGCTGGAAGGTCCCCCCCCACCCACCTCGTGGCTGGAAGGTCCCCCCCCCCACCCACCTCGTGGCTGGAAGGTCCCCCCCCCACCCACCTCGTGGCTGGAAGGTCCCCCCCACCCACCTCGTGGCTGGAAGGTCCCCCCCACCCACCTCGTGGCTGGAAGGTCCCCCCCCCCACCCACCTCGTGGCTGGAAGGTCCCCCCCCCCACCCACCTCGTGGCTGGAAGGTCCCCCCCCACCCACCTCGTGGCTGGAAGGTCCCCCCCCACCCACCTCGTGACTGGAAGGTTTCCCCCCCCCCACCCACCTCGTGGCTGGAAGGTTCCCCCCACCCACCTCGTGGCTGGAAGGTCCCCCCCCACCCACCTCGTGGCTGGAAGGTCCCCCCCCCCACCCACCTCGTGGCTGGAAGGTCCCCCCCACCCACCAGGAAGATCCCCTCAGGAGCCATTGACCTGGTCGGCGCGCGTGACAGAGTGGGGGGAGGGGGGGATGGAAGGGGGGAGGGGGGATGGAAGGGGGGTTATCGGAGCTATTCCCGCTGCCATTTTATGTTCCTCCTGTTACTTGTCTTTACCCAGTCAAGGTCACCACTGATAACTCCCAGGTCACCGCTGGTAACTCCCAGGGCACCGCTGGTAACTCCCAGGTCACCACTGATAACTCCCAGGTCACCGCTGGTAACTCCCAGGGCACCGCTGGTAACTCCCAGGTCACCACTGATAACTCCCAGGTCACCGCTGGTAACTCCCAGGGCACCGCTGGTAACTCCCAGGGCACCGCTGATAACTCCCAGGGCACCACTGATAACTCCCAGGTCACCGCTGGTAACTCCCAGGGCACCGCTGGTAACTCCCAGGTCACCGCTGGTAACTCCCAGGGCACCGCTGGTAACTCCCAGGTCACCGCTGGTAACTCCCAGGTCACCACTGATAACTCCCAGGGCACCGCTGGTAACTCCCAGGGCACCGCTGATAACTCCCAGGTCACCGCTGGTAACTCCCAGGTCACCGCTGGTAACTCCCAGGGCACCGCTGGTAACTCCCAGGTCACCGCTGGTAACTCCCAGGGCACCGCTGGTAACTCCCAGGTCACCGCTGGTAACTCCCAGGTCACCACTGATAACTCCCAGGGCACCGCTGGTAACTCCCAGGGCACCGCTGGTAACTCCCAGGGCACCGCTGGTAACTCCCAGGGCACCGCTGGTAACTCCCAGGGCACCGCTGGTAACTCCCAGGTCACCGCTGGTAACTCCCAGGTCACCGCTGGTAACTCCCAGGGCACCGCTGGTAACTCCCAGGTCACCGCTGGTAACTCCCAGGTCACCGCTGGTAACTCCCAGGTCACCGCTGGTAACTCCCAGACAACCCCTCAGCTTTCTGTCCAGTAATGTCCTGCGGGTCACTCACAAGTTTCCTGAACCCCCCCCCCTTCTCTCCATGGCACCCCCCTCCCTTCCACCCCCTCCCTCCGTGGCACCCCTCCCCCCTCCCTCCGTGGCACCCCTCCCCCCTCCCTCCGTGGCACCCCTCCCCCCTCCCTCCGTGGCACCCCTCCCCCCACCCTCCGTGGCACCCCCCCCCCCTCTCTATGACAAGCCCGTACATCAGTTGCATAAGACGTCACCCCATCCCGCGCGGCCTGTGAGATGTCAGACTTTCTACTGTGTGAGTACTTTCCCTCCGCCTCCGAATATGCCGAAGAGAGCTTCAGGGAAACTCTACCTTCAGGCCCGCCGTCAGGCACAATAGGATTGACAAACGAACTTCGGAGAGTTCATTTATTTACCTTAGATTAGAGACCGTCTGGTCTTAATCTCTACCCCGCGCACTAATGGGTGCCGGAGGGACGGAAGTATCAGGGCGAAAGTGCCAAACCATTACGACTATTTTGTAGAACTGGGAAGGGGGTCGGGATATGGATTTGGGATGGGACGGAGGGATGGAATGGTGTCCAACCACTTGGACGGTCGGGGATTGAACGCCGACCTGCAGGAAGCAAGACCGTCGCTCTACCGTCCAGCCAAAGTAGTTGGAGGAGTGGGTGTAGGAGGTAGAGAGCTGCCGCAGCCTCTGTACACCTCTGCCAAACATTCCTCTGCATGTTTATACACAAGCACAAGCAGTGCAAAAACAGTCATGCATAAACAAATACGCACACATAAACATGTGTAATTGCGCGCACATGTTCAACTGGTGCCATTGAAGTTGCTCGTAGATGCCAAGCCACCCTAAACACCTGTTTAGATACACGTATATCAGAGACAGAGAGAGAGATACAGAGAGGGGGGAGGGGGGATGAGGTAGAGAGTGGGAGATAAAGATGTGTCAAACACAATGAAGCAAATATATTGGGAGTCAGCACATTTGACAAGCATCGGTTAGAAAGGCGGGGCCCAAGAGCTCGATCCGTTCAGCCACAAATAGTAAACACACACACAGATGAAACTGGCGGGCTGGTGTGTTTTGGTTGTGAGGTCATTGAACCCGTCGGGCCAGAAGCCTACGGAGACGGGCAACCCAACTTGAAGTATGCAGAAAACTTTCCATTTAACCTAATTTCGTGCGTGCGGATAGCCAGTCGTGTTTGTCCCGCTCTCCCTGGCTCCCAACTAGTCAGTCTGGTTACCATTAGTTCCAAACTTGAAGTATAAACAGGGTATTACATTCGCACCACTTCTTAAAGTTGTGTATTAATAGCAAATTGGCTCTTCAGTTTTCAATTTCTTGAGACATGTTTAAGATGGAATGGTGAGTATTTGTAGTTGTAGGAGTGAGCTTAATGACAGCTTGGCGTCAAGCTTTAGCAGTAGTCATCCTCCCACTGCGTGTATTTCACATTGTCAAAATAGGATTACTTTGCTTACTCTTGCCACAAAGGAAATATTCAGTCACTCCCACCACGTGGTGTTGGGCCAGCTGTTACCCATATCATTTAACCGGATGTGACGCTGCTACCGACCATACCAGTCATTCCTAAAATAAAAAAAAACTAAAAGGCGACGTTTTAGGAAATACAGTATTACATTTTGACTTGTGGAATATTTTGTTTTGGAAGAGAGCATAGTGAGACGAGCACACACAGACGTCATGACCGCCTCGTTGGGCGGCCGTGCGGCATCTGGCGCCGACTCTGTTCGCTGCATCTTGCTCCACCCCCCTAGGTTCTACGTACCAGACGTACGATACTATGGTACTCCAATCACGTGTATTTAAACTACAAGCTCCCTAAAATTTATTCATTAAATGAACAAATCTGCAAATGACCATAAAATAAATACATGTTCAAGTATATTATCAGTGGAAAACGACGATTAAATTCCAATGTGAATGCATTTTACCTGAATATTAGCTTTCAGTATACTACATAATTAATTCCAAATGCTATTTAAATTTGTTATTTCCCATGAATATATACCTTCAAATAGAAAGTTAATATGGCGAATTATTGTGTTATTAATTTGTTGAACATTGTTTTGGTGTACGAGAGTTTGAGCTGGGTGTGGGAGCGAGTGTTGCTCCCGTCAACTGACTCACATGGCCGCCAGTATATTACTGGACGCCGTGAGGTAAACACGTTTCGCCCACCGCTCTCGCACTGCCAATCTTTATATATATTTATATATAAACTCTTACACTCCTAAGCCATGGAACAAGATATGTTACTGTAACCTTATTTAGTGAAACAACACAGCAGTGGCATATCATGCAAGCCGTTCACTTGTGATATTAAGATAGTTTATCATGAATCTCTATAGACTGTAAATTAAATCATTACATATGAAAGCCTTAATTTTTGAAAGTAAAAGAAGCAAAAGACCTAAACTGTGAGTATAAAACATTTTTTTGGTTTTACGTTTTAAATTTAGTTTTAATTGGTTAAAATCTTCCATTTGCAGAAGGTAAGTTGTGTTGGTTGATTGGCCCTGGATCAATCCTGGCCCTGAGTGGCACCAGGATCCTATGGCACGCCAGGTCCTGGGTGACACTAGGACCTGGGTGACACTAGGTCTTGGGTGACACTAGGATCCTAGGTGACACTAGGTCTTGGGAGGAGACCAGGATCCCATGTGATATTAGATCCTGGGTGACACCAGGCTTCTAGGTGACACTAGGATCCTAGGTGACACTAGGTTCTGGGTGACACTAGGATCCTAGATGACACTAGGTCCTGTGGGACACCGGGATCCTAGGTGACACTAGGTCCTGTGGGACACCAGGATCCTAGGTGACACTAGGTCCTGTGGGACACCAGGATCCTAGGTGACACTAGGTCCTGTGGGACACCAGGATCCTAGGTGACACTAGGTCCTGTGGGACACCAGGATCCTAGGTGACACTAGGTCCTGTGGGACACCAGGATCCTGGGTGACACTAGGTGCAGTGGGACACCGTGACACTAGGTCCTGTGGGACACCAGGATCCTAGGTGATACTAGGTCCTGGGGTGACACTAGGTCCTGTGGAACACCAGGATCCTAGGTGACACTAGGTCCTGTGGAACATCGGGATCCTAGGTGACATTAGGTCCTGGGTGACACTAGGTCCTAGGAGACACCAGGATCCTAGGTGATACTAGGTCCTGGGGTGACACTAGGTCCTGGGGACTCCAGGATGCTTGGTGACACTAGGTCCATGGTGACACTAGGATCCTAGGTGACACTAGGTCCTGGGTGACACTAGGATCCTAGGTGACACTAGGGCTTGGGTGACACTAGGATTCTAGGTATCACTAGGTCCTAGGTGACACTAGGATCCTGGGTGACATTAAGGTCCTTTGTAACATTAGGCCCACAGTGCCACCATATATATATATATTATAATAATAATATATAATAATATGGGTAAAAGTGCTGGTAGTTTTTTTGCTGGGTTCTAAGCTAATTGAAACTAGAGACCCTAGAGCTGCCAGTTTCCTCTTTCATGGCCTGGGGTGTGGCTATCCAGAGAGGAAATGCTCACTGCATCCATGGTTCCTGCCCGCCATCTGAGGAGCCGGAGGAACTCTACAACCCGTGACAAGTAGCCTTGTACCTTGCATGTAACCAATATTGTAACCCTTTTTGTCTAATAATTTTAAATAAAATTATATATACAGTATTCTTTCTGTCCTCTAACAATTATTATTAGGCTTTTTAAACCTAGGCCTAAATAAAACAAGTACACTACCGACAAATTCACGAAAAGCGAAGAAAACGGTCGTAAACAAGTACATTTTTGGTTTTTACCTAGGCCTATTTTATTTGTTCCGAGTCACACACAGGCCCGCTAACATAAACTGTGTCTGTATTTGTTGACTGGAAGATGGGGTCGTCTTTATTGATCGGGAGAACATTGATGGGATGGACAAGGGATACTGAAATTGAAATTGAAATAAGTTTATTAAGGTAAAATACACACAAAGGGATGAGGGTAGCTCAAGCTATTCTCACCCCCGTTCAGTACATCGTGTTAATACATACATATACACACATCACAAACAATAAACATATTACCAAACATTCTGAGAGATAAACATATACATTTGCTAAGGGATACTTGTAAGTGAGAAGGCGGGCCCAAGAACTATGTCTTTCTATGTCGTAAACCCTGCTAGTTTAGCATAGAACCACACGTGTACACACGCCAGCAAATATACACATGCATTCACATCTACGTATATACAAATGTATACACAACATATATACAGAACCACATATATACACATGCATACACAATCACACGCGCACACACTATATATAATTATATATATATATACATGCATGCACAACTACATATTTATACAACTACATATATACACACACGCATACACAACAACATTTACATACACACACGCATACACAACAACATTTACATACACACACGCATACACAACAATTATATACACACGCATACACTAGAGATATATACACGCACGCATATACAACTACACATATACACGCATATACAACTACACATATACACGCATACACAACTACAAACATACACACATGCATACACAACCACATATACTCAGGAATCTGTTCACCGGTTGATTGACAGTTGAGAGGCGGGACCAAAGAGCCGAAGCTCAACCCCACCGCAAGCACTATTGGGTAAGTACATATATACACACATACACACATACAACCCACACATACACCCTCATGCATGAAAGATCAAACAGTAATCAGGAAGTCGGGACAAATATAGACACGAAGCCTAAACCAAAATACCGAAATCAATTTAGTGAAACGAAAGGCTCGGTGGAATTTAAAATATTACAGGAGCGCGAGGCTTGACAGGGAAGACAGGCTGCTTGGGGACACGTTGGCTCTGGAGATTCACGTAACTATTGTGGTTGGCTTGACGATAAGGCAGTTGGGACTCCAACTGGCTATAAAGGGAGTCTGTTGAATTGACAGGGAAAAAGGATGCGTAACCAAATCACACAGTTACATAGATAAGTTGACGATGGAGATAATAGGATTGTAGCGAGGATACTGATGGTATGTGTAGAGGGACTGGAAGGTGGGTGATGATTATGGAAGAGAGACAGACATTGGAGGTGGACACTAAGTGGGAGGACGAGATGTGAAACACAGGTGACTGAGGCTTACAACGGAGAAGAAATTAGCAAGATGAACACAAATGTGAAGAAGCATTTGAAAGGTTGGGTAAAAGAATGAATCCATTAGAAGCAAAGAGTGCCAGGGAGGGGGAGAGAGGTAGGCATAGCCACAGAGAGCAAGCAGGTTGTTGTGGGCAGATTGGCAGACTATATTAAAAAAAAACTAGAGGAACGAATTCAAAACCTTGGTGAAGAGGAGTGCCTGGTCGAGCACCGGGCCTTGTTGTTGTTTGCTGTTTTATATTCAGCTACTCGGAACAGTTGCAAGTAGCACGGTCTACGGCGAGCCCGTTCGCGGGGACGTTGAACCCCGGAATCAATCACCACAAGGTAAGTATGTGTGAGAACACGCGGAGGTTATGTCCAGTGAGGAGGAGACGAAGGTGGACGGAACACAGCAACATGGCGTCATAAGAGCCAGGATGACAGACGACGATTATAATCCAGGGATTAATTTAACAACAAATATCAAAACACAAAAGACTACAATTTGAGAGGACAGAACTAGGAGAGATATTACAAGGTCTGGATGCTGATTTACGGTAATTGGGCATCATGCTAAATTCCACCATATAAAAAAATACCAAAAGCAGACCCCTTTTGCTTAAGTTTTGTAAAAAAAAAAAAAAAAAAAAGACAGCAGGATACATAGTTAAACATAGCAAGTAGCTAAGTGATACTGTACACTATTACAAGTAGCCTGGCCCCAGGCCGGGCTCGGGAAGTAGTAGACCTCCCGAAACCCTCTACAGGTACGCTCCAGGTAAAAAAATAATTGCAAATTTCATGATGAAACCTAAGAGCAGAAATCCCAGTTGAAGATAATTGATAATGGAACCGGTGGGTGGGTACACACCCGAGCCATGACAAGGATTACAGGTCACTCTGTAACCGGCGCTGCCCGGGTCATCCCGCCTCCCCACACGTGTCTATCTTCCTTTCTGCGTTCCTGTTTGTCTCTACCGCTCCTCTCTCTCCTATCCCCTTATTTTCTCTTTCCCCTATTCGTTCCGCCTCCTGTTCTCTCTACCTCCCGCTCTCTCTCCCTCCGTTGAATCAACGTTTATTCAACGTCAATAACAACTGGGAAGTCTGATGTAAACACCACGCTATAGACAAGCCTTCAGACTTCATACGGGTCTCTGGGATTCGGAATAGGAGTTGGTCCTTCTTAAAAGAGGTGCGTAAAGGCTGGTCCCAACCACCCCATGACTCTCCATACAAGCACAAATGACCATGATAAGTTACGTGAGCCTAGCCCCAAGTTACGTACTGAGGCTAGTCCCAAGTTACGTGAGGCTAGCCCCAAGTTATGTACTGAGACTAGCCCCAAGTTACGTGAGGCTAGCCCCAAGTTACGTACTGAGACTAGCCCCTAGCATCTGGTTTGTAACACTGTTTGGGCACACAGTGTGATACTGAAAATATCATAGATAGACAGGCAACCACCTCGCCCCCAATACGTCTACACCCACACACCCGCAAACCATCCCCCCCCCCGTCTCGTTGACCCCTCTCACCTCTTTTCAATCCAGAGAAACCCATCCGAGTCCTCCCCTCCCCTCCCAATGCACCTCTGTTCCTTAGGTGTATTGGGAGAGTCATCCCATCCCATCCTATCTGCCCCTCCAGACCCTCATCCTCACACTTCCCTCCCCCCCTTATGCACCTTAACCCCTTTTGGCCTCATCTAACACTGCCCCTCACCATCCCTCAACCCCATTCCTCCCCCCCCCCCTCTCACCCACTAATCTCGCCCCCCACTCTTCTCATCAGCCCCCCTCTGCCACTCAAGCCTTTCTGCCTGCTCACACTCCTGCCCCCTCTCACCCCACATTTACCCCTTTGTCTCTTAGCTTCCCCTAGCCCATCACCCCATTTCCCCCCTCATACCCGCCGTGACTCACAACCCATTTACCCCGCACACCCCCCTGTCCCTTATTCCCATTTGTCCCTCCTCCCTCTATCGACATGCCCCTTCATCTCCTATATCACTCACTCCCCCCCCTCCTTGTGCCCCTCACTCATCCCTACCCCCAAGCCTCTCTCAGTCAGCCCGTCTCTATCCCTCAGCCCTACCCTGCCTCTCGTCCTCTCTATCTTTCAATCCGTCATTACCTTGCAGTCCTTCTCTGCCTCTTGACCTACTTTTTTTTATTACCAAACCGTTCCTACCTCACAACCACTGTGGATGAAACAACGGCAACCACTCTCGCTT